TAGGTTTAACAATAAATATTCCAATACTTACAACCCAAACTAAAAATTCAACCCAAATTTCAACTAGAGTAATAACTTTTCTAGGTATGGGAAACCAACAGTAGGGGGACACCCAATCCAATCCTATAGAAAATTGGAGCACCCATGATAATAGTAACCCAAGTTAGGCTTAAGAATTAGGATTCATGTCCAATTTTAAATCTAAATCGAAGAAATCATCTTTTGAGAAGATAGTGATACAGATGGGAACAAGTTATAAAGTCAAGCTACAACCATAAGACATATCGAGAATTAACTTGGGTGCTCCATAGTAACACTGAAGTAAATCTTCAGAAGAAGGAAAAGAGCAAGTATAAACAATGAGGCTAAGAGAGTTGGAAAACCTCCTTAAGAAGGAGATTGGTCTAATAAAATTAAATCTCGAACCTGAATAACCTAGTGAGAACCAATCCGAGGACCTAAAAAATCTGGCTCACCTCCTAGAAGAGTATAAGAGAAACCAACACCACCTTTTACACAAAAAAGCTACAAAAACAAAAGTTAGATAAAAATTTGTTTATGTTTCTAGAGGTTGTTAAGAAGCATTCCATCAACATTCCACTTATTGAAGCCCTAGAAAAAAATACATAGTTATGTGAAGTTCATGAAAGATGTCATGAATAGGATAAGAAAACAAAGAAATTTTGAGATCATTGCCCTAAATAAATAATGTAATGTTATTCTATAGAAGAAGTTGCCATATAAACTTAAGGACCCAGGTAGCTGTACCATTCTTTGTGCCATAAGACAAAAATTTTCTTATGAGGCTTTGTGACTTAAGGGTTAGCATTAACCCCATGCCTCTTTTTATTTTCAAAACACTAGGATTAGGAGAAGTCTGATTGGCCATATTGACCTTACAGTTAGTTGACCAATCTTTATCTATTTTAGGAGTGTGATAGAAGATGTTTTGCTAAGATTAATAAGTTTATCTTCCTGGCGCATTTCAATATGACTTTCCATGTTTAATCCCCTTCATATTTATTCCATATTTTGAATGAAGTTACACTTTAAAGAAATTGTTTTTTTCATGTCTATCATGTAGGTATACCAATCTGGAGCGTAACGGAGCATAAACGAGACAAAACAGAGCTAAAACGAAGCAAAATGGGGCAAAACAGTGGAGCTGCGCACAAGATGGCACTATAGCTCCCAGAATGGCCCCATAGCACCAGACATAGGCGCTATGGCACTAGGGACGGTTATTGGTCTAGTTTTTGGTGATTCCAAGCCATTTTGAGATGTTCTGAAAGCTTTTGAATAACTTGCACGCCCCATGGAGTGATTCAATGAATCTAGACACTTTGAAAAGCATTTAAATGAAGAAATGTCTCTTAGAATGAATGGATGTGTCTCTTGGATGAAGAGATGTGTCTCTTGAAGAAAGGAGGGGTTTTTATTTCTTTTTAAATTAGGGGTTGGCGCCTCTCATGAAGGGTAATTATGAAGTAATTAGAGGAGTCTAAAGAAGAAATTAAGAAGTGTTTTAGAAGGAGTTTTGGCGTGAGTTTAGGGAGATGTAGATTTCTTCATTTTCTGGAGAGATTGGAGAGGGATTTTGAGAGATATGAGTAAGAAAGTATGAACGGCGCATGGATCGGCAGGAGACTTTGTTGGAGAGATTTTTCTTCTTTCTTTTAGAGGGTAAAAACTAAGTATTGTGTTTTTCATTTTCTTGTAATTGTTGTAAACACTTTCTAATGAATTTTCTTTGATTTAAACGAAGTTTTTTTATTGTGTTTTATCCATGCTTTATAAATAGTTTTTATTACTATTTTCTTTTAATATGACATATTGACATGTGTAGGAAAATTATTTCATGATAACATTATTTTTATTTTGATGTAATTAGTAATATCTCCTTTGCTTCTTTGACATAACTTAAGTATCAATATGTTATATTACTATTTGTTGTAAGTGAAACTAAGACTCGGGAGAGCGGTGATCTCGCAACTTGAGTGCACTCACATTGGCAGGTTGGCTTGTAAAATAGTTTAGGCGGCAACACAACTTTTAAGGAAATATAATTTAATGATATATTTATATTAGATTCTTCTAGGTGACAAATAGTTGCATAAAACTAATAGAATACTAAGCATACCTATACACTCGAAAGAATGTATGTAGACATATGTTCCTTGTTGGCACATAATTTATTACTTAATTATATCAATCATTTTATTTCTTTTGCCATTATCTTCATTTTACTTATTTTTTTGCAATGAAATAGATGCATGTTAGGAATTTAGATTTGCTTAGATATTTTCTTATTTTATTAATATAATGGTATTTTCACCAGCTCTTCATTGACTCTACAAACTGATCACTTGTTGCGAAATATAATAACCCAAGAGGGCTATGATTTCACCCAACTAGTGGATACCACACTTCATTCTAGGCAGAGCCATTGCGATCACCTAAGGGAGAGTGCAAATAAATAAGGATATAAGTTTTGATTGGTATAAAATTGGTTAAATCTAGAGTGACAGACTAGATTCTTATCAATGTGACATAAGGTTTAGTACCCTGACGCTGGGATTCGGTCATCACGGTGATATAGGCTAGGGGCATCTAGAGGTGAGATGTTAAATAACACTGATGTGGAGTCGAGATGTTAAGGAATCGACCTTAAGTTAGCCAATGTTCTTTGTTAGGTATGCTCATATTTGCCACTGAGAACATTATATTTTAAGCATTTCATTCCTTCACATTATCTAGGTCATTGCACACGAAGGGTAGTCTTTAATATCCCAAAATTCTCCAAACTAATTTATCCGGAAAAAGTTATCTTTATATCTAGACAAGTTATCTTTAGAATTAATATTTGCATTTAGGAATAGTTGATTATCATTACATTTAATATTTGCATTTAAGAGTAGTTGCTAGAAAACACACCACCTTAATCAACCTTCCAAACTAAGGTCTGATAGTAGTAAACTAAACTTAGTCTAAGAGATTTCTTACCTCGATTCTCTGTGGGATTGATACTTAGGGTTTTAAAAGAACACCCTATATTACTTGAAACGTACGTATACTTGCGTAGAACCCTTAGTGTATGAAATATAAATTAAATTCTAAATTTTATAAAATATTATTTTCCACACTAACCGCTTAAATATAAATTGAGTCAAGTTTTTGGCCATCATTCGGAGCTTAAAAATCTACGTAATTGCGGGTTAGGTCAGCCATCTCCCCAACCCTAGCAGATACCACAAGAACTCCGTTCAAATCCACTTGGGTCTCATCATCTGCCATACCAAAGATAACAAATGAATCATTAACGGACAACAAAAATCATTTTGATCAAGAAAGAGAACATACCCATGCTCTAATTATGTCAGAGATCATCGACATTTAGGGATGAAGTCACCGTAATAGGAAAGGATCAACGTGCACGTGTGAGGTTTGATACCAAGCCAAACTGGGAGCTAGAGTGGGAGGCACAAATGGTGTCCTATCAGATGACCACACGATCACAATAGGAGTATCCACAACTACAAAATGAGCGTTCTTAAGGACCGCTCAAGAAGAGCAAGCTTTAACCGAGGGGGAGCCCCTCCACTTCTTCCCCACGAATTTCTTCTTTTGATCATTCACATGGAATCTCTCTCTTCTCCTCGGAAAAAAGCTTGCCCGCATAACAAAATTTTTTTCGGAATAATGGATTAGGATTTCAAAGGCTTATCCATCACAAGGACATCTCTTTCTGAGGAAGACAACCGAGATACAAAGGAAAATAAATATGAAGAGAAAACATGAAACATGAAAAAATGGAAAGACTACCCCATATTTATAAGTAATCACCGGCACAAAAGTAAATGAATTATTAATCAAAGAAGCTATTTAATAAAAGAAACTTTTGTTGAATTTAATTCTCACATATTTATCGCAACTTGCAACCTACTAATGCACGAATGAATATATGAACTAAAATATATAAGATCCAAGTACGCTGAATTAGATTAAACAATCTTGGATGGGAAACATGTTGACGAATCAATCCTAACAAGTGCAAAGAGCTATCAATATGCACAAAGCGGACAATCCAGTTGATCAAATTAAAATGGCCGACTGAATAAATAGACAAACGACTCACTAACTCAGAAGAGAGTGAAAATGAGAACAAACGAGTAATGATTCAACTATAGTAACAGTTATCTTGACAATTATAATGATCGACCAATAATAGTGATTTTCAAGTGCAATATGGATACTTCTACCTACTATAAATATAAAAACAGTAAAATGTAAATGCCAAACTTTTTAGAGAAACACAAAGATATATAATTGAAATTATAGTCGTAAGGCTTTTAAGTCTCTTTCTCTATATTTTTCTCTCATTTTCTCTTTATTTATGCTCTATATTTTAGGTGTGATTCACATATAAATATACGTTCAATACATACATAAAGGGGTGTAAAACAATGACCGACACACCGTCACTACTCGAACTCGACTCAAAAAATTTGAGTTAGGGTTGACCTGAATATTTTCTTAGTCGGGTTCAATTTAAAGAGTTCTACCCATTTATTATTCGGGTTGGGTTCGGGTTGAACCCGAAAACCCAAGTATGACTCAAATAAAAATGAAAGTTTGGGTTCATGTTAGCAGATCAAGCTCGGGGTCATGTTGGGTTCGGTATTTTTCAAACTCTTTATTATTCGGGTTAGATTCGGGTTCGGGTTCGGGTTGACCCTATTCGAGTCGAGTCATTTTCGGGGTTGGATCTGAACCGGACCTGGTGACCCGAATTAGAACCCATACTAATACATACTATCCAATTCTTATGTATTTACATATCTATTATCTAAATGTTACTACTTATATTTATAACATTAAAATCTTACCTATTATATAAAAAATAACATCATTTTAATTTTTGAAAATTGTAACTCATCGTTTCTTCAAAAATAGCTAAGATGTCGGTATGTAACAATTAAAATTTAGGTTTTCGAATTTGTAAAGACACAAGTGCTAGGCATGTAAAATCCTTCAAACTGAAAACCCAGTCGGACGTGTCCTGGAGCTGCGTGATCGAATCCGGACCCAACAAAGCATCGCTATTGCTTTTCGCCTCGCTTCACTCTCGGCAGCGGCTTCTTCTCCTGCTACAGCGCTTAAGCGGAGGAGAAGCAATATTTCGTTTGAAGAAGGTGAGGTGAAGAAGGATATATCACAAGAACTTGGCCAAAATCCCTGTTTTCGAGCCGCTGATTGCGAAGTTATTCTCTTGCCCTTGCGCATCTTTATCTATTTCAACTTTACCATCTCTCCACTTCTCCTCACCTTCTTACTCTGCGTCTCTCGTTGCTTGAAACGGTTCGAAGAAAAAAAGGATATATGCCGACTTCGTAAACACCTGTTTTCAGCTACTATATATACTAAGTTTTTCTATATTTATTGCGGCATTGATGGGATTTTGAGCTTACTTAATCGTTATGTACGTTATTGTATCCCTTTTTTATTCAATGTGAATTTTGTTGATGTAGGAAGATTGCGAGAACAAGACTTATGAATTTTTATAATTTGAAATTTTGATGATTCAGTACGGCAACAATAGTTGTAGAAGTTTGGAGGGTTGATTTGCATTGCCTCCATTATTTATTGGGATGAAAGGGTAATAGCAAACTTTAATTGCGATTAAAGGACTACTCTTGTGATTTTTTGTTCTAAAAACCCTTATTAAATTTTATATCAAGCTTTTAGTTCTGGTAGAAGCTATTGTTATCAAGCTTCAAAAGAATAATTTAAGGAAACCCCAAATGTTTAATATTTTTGTTGATAGCAGAACCAAAGTAATAGTTTATATGTGAATTTATAATTTTGAGCTTTTTCTTGTATCTCTGTATTTTAGTAACAGCTTCCGATGGTCAGATTTCATGTTATCTTCAACAGTAATTTGGCAATGGCGAACTAACCAAATACTTTGTAGGGTTTTATAATCAATTTCTTAACAAAATAAATCAAGTTTGATAAAACATAATGATTTTGTTTCTTACTATTTTCCAATGGTTTTTTTTGACTAAAAAAGATTAAGTGAGATTTTTATGGGAGCAAAAAAACTGATAACGCGGGGTATGTATTGTCGCTGCATCGCTTTCTTCTTTTTCTCCCAAGAATTGATTCTGTTCCATCCTCTCTATCTCTTCTTCTATAGTTCTCCCACCATAAGTAATACTTCCATTGTCGAGTCCCTAGCCCTTGATATGAAAAGTGGAGGGTTGCATTAGGTAGTCGACAATCAACGTTTTATAAAAAATTACAACATAATTCTTTTCAATCATTATATAAATGCTGGGCGCCCCCTGAAAACGGTGCGTTGTATGACCTAAATGTAGTGAAAAATGTGCAAGGGCTGCTATATGACCCGCCCAGGTGTAGTGCTAAATAAACAAATGTTCTTACATTACGGACGAATGTGGGCATAGAGTTAGTCCAAAATACTAATATAAAGATAAAATCTTGGATATTATGTATTCTTACAAGTAAATTATTGAAATTAGTAGATGTTATGGTTCATAGGAAGATAAACATCTTATACATTCAAGAAATTAAATTGGTCGGAGAAAAGTTAAGGAGATTGGTAGCTTAGGTTTTAAATTTTGATATTCAGGTAGGAGTCACAATAGAAATATTGTGTGTATTATAGATAAAAAGTTGAAAGATAATGTTGTAAAAATTAATATAATGGAAGATTGAATTATCGCCCTGAAGTAGTTTTAGATCTAAAACTGAATACATGGAATGTAATTTTAGTAGTAGTAGCTATAATAATAGAGTTGTATCAATGAGTGATCAAATTATTAAAAGGTGTGAATGTTTTGGATATCTCAGGTTTATTGCTCAAAGTGATGTGATATAGATGAGGATGTTATTAATAGATTTCAATTTGGTTGGTTGGTTGAAGTGAAGGAATGCATTAGGCCTATTGTGTGATAGAAAAGTACTGCTTAGACTTAAAAGGAAAATTTTATATGAAGGTGGTGAGACTTGCTATGCTTTATGGTGCAAAATGTTGGCCTTTAAAAGAGAACCATAAAACAAAGTTAAGTGTTACCATAAAATAAAGCTAATGTGATGTGTTTTCAATGTATCTATTATTTTAATTGTGCCAAGTGCTCCTCCAACTAGTTGTTTGATGAAATCAGCCTTCTTTTTAGTATGATTCATCAGAGTAGATTGTCTGTAACCTCCTTAAAATTGCTGCATTTAAAAGGTTCTTGATCTTGCAATTAAATAAATTGATAGTATTGTTGTGCTTTAATACCTTATGAATAATGATATATTAAATATACTGCACGTGTCAGTAACTTCAATTATAACTATCTCAATTGATGACCATCGCTCTCTTTATTACACATTATTGTAACTATAAAACCATGACCTTCTATAATGCCTAGTTGGAAGACATGACCAGGATAGCTAATTGTGTTGATCGCTCTTTTGATTTAGGTCTTATTATATCCTTTGAAGATTTAAAGTGTTCTTTATTTCCCTTTAAAAAATGAATGAACATCTGTCTCCTTAATTTTTTTTTGTTCATTAATGCTTGGACTTTTTTTTTTTCCCAATAGTTAAGGATCATTAAAAGCTAGTAAACCATTTTTTAAAAAATTCTCAACATTTTACTCGGAACTTACAGGGTGTGCTTTTATAGTTAATTTCCTAAGAACCAAACAAACATGTTGTAGATCCTATAATAGATTTTATAGCTTGCAAATTTTGCTGGGTTTCTACGCCAACATATTTTTCAACCATCCATTAAGGAACTTGACACAATACTCTCACTTGGGTAACGATTATGTGTTGTGTTTTTCTTTAATAATACAAGCTTATATAAAAGACAGTTTGCATATGCGATTCAACTTATCTTAATTCGAAGTGCTTGCGTGTAATTCAAACTTCTAAAATTTTGTATTAACCTATTGGTCTTTGTTTGCAATGCTGTTTCTCTTACCATCATTTTTTTTTTCCAATCATTGCCATGTTATAATTATTTATTTTCTCCTACTCTGCAATAGATGAATAACATTTCTTTCTATATTTTATTATAGTTTCTAAACTCATTTCTGATCCAGAATATTTTCTAAATTTATCGTTGTTTTTATTCTCGATGTCCTCTGTATGGCTAAGTATGACCCATATGTAGGTGCAGTTTGGATAACTTCATGATGTCCATTGCTGGTTTAACCTGTAGTCGTTCAAGTTTTTCTTGTTGTACGACATGTTTTACTTGCCCAAGTTCAGCATGTAGTTTAACTCTATCATCAATATATAAAGAAAGATTGAAGGAGAAAAGGAATTTTCTACTCATGAGAAACAGGTAGAGGCATTTACATAGTAATCTCACTTTTTCCTCGTTTTACTTTTCAACCTAATGGTTTTCCTGAAAATTTTTCTTCATAGTGCAGGAAGCACAGAAATATGCCACTTCAGAGAGGTTTAAACACGAGGCGAAAGAACGAAATATATGCCTCATTTGGTGATATGGCTGATAATTCTACAGGTAGTTTATCTCACATCCCTTTTTTATGCGTCTTATCGTTGTGATTTCTTTTATTTGTGAGTTGGTGTTGCATATGGCTTGTCTCCTTGGTTCTGACAAGGCAGCTTTGAGGCAAATTAATTCAGGATTATACATAGTACCTAGCAATTATAAAATTTCAACTTAAGAGCTTAATGCAATCAATTCAGTGATTTCAGTGCACTTTAAAACTGAAATAAGTTGTTTCTAGATAATACCATCTCAATCCTTTGACTTGATTGTTTCTGGAAAGATTTGGAGAGAATTCCTTAAGTATTTCATTTCAGCATTTATGTAGTGTTGATGCATCCTACGAGAGCTTCTAATAAGAAACATAATATAAAGAACAATGATTATAGAATAATTTAAATAGTCTACAGATTTATGGGTAGTCGGAGTAGTAATTACATAATAAATATAATAGCCTATGGATTGATGTGTAGGTAGTTGGGATCCTATGGATCAATCTGGTGATAATGGAAAAGGAATTAAAGTGGGCAGAAATCTTGGTGAGTTTTGATTTCAAGCAAATAAAATAATGCTAATATTTCACACTCCCCCTTAGGCAAACAAATGCAATCATTTATTCTAATACTGCTTAATAATTCTTAAAAATTGCACTTGATAATCTATTTGTGAGAATGTTAGTAAGTTATTTACTTGTACTTACGAATGAAGTGCGAATCAAATCACTATCAATCTTCTCTTTGATAAAATGTCAATCAAATTCAATTTGCCTTGTACAATCATGTTGCACATGTTATCATAATACAGCCTCATAGGAGCTTTTCTTTTAATTTTAAATCTTCAAAGATATTTTTTAGCCATAGTGATGCTCAGCTTGCCATAGTAAAGCTCAGCTTCTTTGGTGCCATATATCTACAATTAGCTCTGCCGTTAGATCCTGCTACCACATTTTATTTTTTTCTACTTCTCCTAGTCATAATTTTGCGTCCTTAGAATTTGCAATATTCTAAAATTGAACTTTGTCAATCATAGAGTTCGTATAATCTACCTCTTTGTATGTTTTAAGAGTCAAATCTTCCTAATTTTGAATATAATTCATTTGCCAAGGGTTCTCTTCAAATACTGTAGAATTCAATATACTGTCATAGGTTGCAATGGCTTAGGATTGTGCATGAATATAATGTTAAGTCTAGTGTGCAATAAGTATATAAGTTTTAAGGATTGTGTATGAATATAATGTCAATTCTAATATGTAATAAGTAGGCAAGTCTTCTTACTGATCTTTGATTAAAGATTTTTTCCAATTGTTGTCTCTTTTATTGTATCTCCAAGTTGTGCCCTCGACATATTGGCATCCTAAATTATCTATTTGCTTCATTAGATTTCATGTTAAGAGTGCAACTTCAATTCCAAGGAAATTTATTTGCTTACCTAATGTGTTGACTTTAAATTTTTGGAGCAATTTTTTTTCCTTTTAATTCTCTATACCTTAACTACGCTGGCAACATAAACTTGTAGTTTGGAGACATGCTTGAAGCCGCATTTCTCTGTTCTTCTCAAGTCAATATCTACTATAACAATTCTATATGGGGGCAGCTGTTGAGACTGCTTTCCCCCAATATTAGTTCAGGACATTTTTCTAAATAAGAAAAGCCCGCCCTTATGATAGCAAGTATGTTCCTTTTCTTGCTCAATTACTCCATTTTATTGGGATGTGTACATTCAGAAGGACTTGTATATTATTCCCTTTTTTTTTAAAAAGTATGAGTGAGATCGTTAAAATAGACATTGTCGAATTTGTTATCTCTTTTATTTTAAACAACAAACTTATTTTTGAACACATTTATATATATATATATATTTTAAAAAAGCCCAAGGGCAATTATATTAAAGAGTTAAGGGTACAAATAGGTTGTATGAGTGGTGGGCCCAAATAGACACCCAACCCACACGGTACAAAAAAAAAAAACCCAAAAAAGAGATGGTACATATAAGATCAATCGGGATGACCCAATTTAGTTATGCCTCTGTCTCTAGTTCTCGGAAGGGAACCAACTAACAAACTAGTGAGGCATGTACCATTGTCTGAAGTAACTAAAGTATCATTCATTAGATTCCTTAGCTCAAGTAGATCTCCATTCTTTTTCTTCCTCTTGGGAGTGTAAACCTGCCATTACTCATCCGAAGATTGTTGCTCATTCGGATGAGGTGGTAGAGCTGTAGTAGAAAGATTGCCAACAATTGTAACCACAATAGGTTCTAGTGTATTTGAAGTATGAGTTGTCGCCTCTACACCTGATACTTTCTGAAGATGAAGAGCTGCAAGGTTCTCTTGATTATCAGTCCGAACATTATCCTTTGTAGGTAAGGATCCTTCAGTACTGTTCAATAGGGTTTGAAATAGGGTTTGAAAGTGTAGGTTGCCCAACAGAGCCATCCAACATCACATCAATCGTATAAACAATATTGTCAGGAGGGGGGTGTCCATAGGGGCAATTAAATCAGACACCAAATCCTGTTCTGTTGTAGTTTTCTCTCCAAATAAAACAAATATGTCCAGAGCAGTAGAGTTAGACTCGTCTTTATTCACTTGATCTTTAGATTTCAAATTAAGATGGAGCTTATGACATTTATGAAGGGTATGCCCAAACATCTTACAATGAGAACAATAAATAGGTCTATGTTCTTGACGATTTGTTGCCAATATCCATTATGAGTTGTGCCCAACCAACCAGACTTCAGTAACATCAGACTTCAGTAACATCAGATAAAGTAATATCTTTTTCCACAAGTATTCTGGCCACAGAATGTCTGTTTAGGTTGAAAGTGAGTAGATCTAGCTTCATAGAGTCCCCAAGTATGATCTCAATAGAGTAAAGAATCTGATGATGAAAAAAGTGCAACTTGAAACCTGATAGACTAAACCATACCGATGCAGTAGGAGATTCACGATTAGGGTCAAAATCAGGAGACCACTTGAGTAACTTCATTGACTTGCGTGCAATGTTAGAATATTTTTTGGACAAAATCTGAGTGTAGTCTTCAGTCACGGTTAATTGAATAAACACGTCTTCCATCAATGAGCCCCATTTTTTACTTTCCTGCTAGTTTGATATCATCAAAATTTTTTATGATAACTTCCATAGGTGGGTGCACCCACGAAAATTTTCCAATAAGAGCGAACTTTAATTTCTCAGTCAGGGTTGAAATTTCTAAGTCAGAGAAAAAAAGTGCTGCTTTCCCATTTTTCATACTTGCATTCTTAGCAAAGGAGCAATCACCTGTACCATCACGACAATCCTTATAACTTGAGGAGAAGACAACCACCAACTCCACCTGAAGATTACCTACCACGTGGGCAAAGTAGGCTTTGCCAGGTTCAACCGAAAAAGAGGGGAGCGCTATCAGAGCAGGGAAATCCTCCTGCTAGAAGATCTTGATATAATAGCTGTCTGCGTAGTTCCGAAAACTCGGAAGGCGAACGTCGGAGTCAAAAACAAAGACGCAGACGCGAACCGAAGCTGTCGGGCAGGGGGAGGCGAATGTCGGCGTCGAAACAAAGGAGGCAGAACGACGCAGACGCGAACGACGAAACTGTCGGCGTCGAAATTGAAACAGTGAGATGCAGACGCAGACGAAACCGTCAGCTTTGAAGAACGCAATAACGACGCGAGCCGACGAAGCAGAGGAAGTGAGGAGCGGAAGCAGAGAGTCTACTAAACAGAGGCGAGGTGCGAGCCTTCTCCTTCGAGTGATAGAATCTTAGGCGACGAAAATTGCCATTTGAAACCCTAACAGAGCTCTGGAACGCCATTCTATATATACAGATAAATATATATATATATGTATGTATATATATAT